AAAATATATTTTAATCCTGCATTTTTTAATTAAATGTTATAACATCACTAGCTTTTCCAAGATTATTCAATATTATTAAATTATAAAAACTGGTTTGATAGCAACTCACAACACATACCTGGCTTTCTTGTCCATCTTCCTTTGGCTTATAAACATCACTAACACATACAAACCTTTAAAAAAAAAAAGAATTGCTACGTGAATCCATAAAAGTAATTGTTTAATATCCCATATTCATTTCCAAATCATCATCAAATATTTATCACATATCAAGTACAATTTACAGTAAATTGTTAATGAAAAGTCTCTGGACCAGTATAGAGTCATATTTATTGTAGTCAGATTTGATTCAACTGGTATATACAAGTATAACGTGTAGGAGCCAGAAATGTTTCCTGCGGCTATTGTTTTTTTTTATCATGAATTCTAAATTTAATTTCATGTACATGTAAGACATAAACAAATACAAAAGATGACTTGACTTGTAACTAGCAAACTTAGAACTCAAAACCATGTGTGCATATAACTGAAAGTGTCAATAAGATTGCATTAATTGCATTTAAAATGAAAACTCCAATGAGAAAGACTAATCATAAAAAGTATATTACATATTAAATTGATATAAAATAAACCAAACTTTACAAATTTGCAATACGGTGCTGTTTTCTAGTAACAAGAAATATCTAAAATGATATATTTAATTTTTCAATAGACTTTTCCACTACACAATATAACTGAAACATAATGTTATATGTATGTAGATCAAGAACACCAACTTACTTCTGTTTGATGGGTCCCAAGAGATCAAGTCCTGGCTTTATCTCTTCTTCAGGATTAGGAGTCTCCACTGTTGTGCTAACCATAGCTACAAACCAGCCTTTTGCTGCTACTTGATGAGTATATGAAACCATTGATACATAGATGTCTAGAAAACATGAAGAAACAGTTGAACTTGTGTTAAATTTTCAATGTATGTTATATTAAAAGACTCGTGCTTTTTACATTCATCCACAACTTTTCATCACCTAGTACCACTGCAAATGTTTTTATAAATAAATACACTGTATAACTGTATACCAACACAATATCTAGAACACATATTATAATCTTTGAATGAGATAAATACTGCAGTATAAGTGTCTGTGTACATGTACTTAAAAAGTTATATATTGAACAAGTACTGAATTGCACGGTTCTTTCATATCCACTTTTCCCTTATATTCTCCATACAAGAACATATATATTATTGAAATCATTTTTACTAATTCCAGAAAATAACATTCTTAAAGATTTTCTTTGTATTTGAGGTATTAAAAAAACAGTGGGTTGTAATATTTAGCTAGTGACCATCAAGAAGAACTGTTTTTTTTTCAGTTTTTTTAATTACCAGATGATATTTCAGGAACAATTATAAATTTAGAGAAGTTGTAAACAATAGCCAGAATTATTATATAAAGAAATGTTTCAAGCAAAATATTTATGGGTTTGTAGCTCATTGTGCACATCTTTCAATGAGGTCCTTTAAGTTTAAAATAGCAAGTAAAAACACAAAAATGTCTAGTAGCCAAAAATATCAGTTTCAAGTCTTGTCATGAGTATTTATGAAAGAGTTTAGACCAAAATGGAAGCTTTGAAACATAAAGTAATTTCAGCTAATTGTATTTCAGCATATTAGAATACCGAAATTTAATGAAACATAGGTGATACTGGTACTTTCTGATAATATATTCACAAAACAACATAAAAGGCAGCCACACGGTGATTCAAATTTTTACCTGAATGACGTCCAACTTGCTTCTGAGGAATGATAATCTGACAAGACAAAGCATCCTTTGTGTTGGGGATTGGATGGTTCATCAAACAGATGCACCTGATTACCTAGGAGAGAAAAACAAGAAAAAAAAGCCTGATATTCTAGTTCTACCTTAGTACAACAAAATGTAAGATTGGCTGCTTGAAAATATTAAGCAAGATTTTTTAATATTTTTATTTAAATACAAAATCTTCATGTTATAAAGATTTATTTTTTTTACCATTTTATTATCTATGTACAGTGACTGTCACATAATTAATGGTTCATTTTTCCTTTCACCAGTGTTCAAAGCTTTTAAAAAAAATGTGTTTAATTTCCTTTTCAGTTCCCAATCTGTTTTACACCTTGGATTGAATTAATCCAGATGCAGAGAAAAGCTGTTCCATTCTGCTGTCAAGATAGATACAGTTATGAGCTGGCAAATATCATGATGTACTGCTGGACTAATTTTATTTTTAATGATTTCCACCAGTCAATTGTTCTAACAAACTTAAAAACATTTTCTTAAACATGTATTGGTTGAAAAATGTCTGCAATCCAGTTCAGAGCAGATTCAACTTCCTCTGATGTTAACGTATGTCCGTGATATCCAGGTTGAATTATTTAGTGAGCTGAAGAAAGTGTTTGTGCTTGGTAGTTGAAGAATTTTTTTTTAAACATCTGTAGGAACTTCAGTGTTTGTTAGATCTTGAGAAAGAATTTTCAATGCTTCTACAGTATAAGCAAAAGTACTCTGATCACACTGAACCCTATGTACAGGGAATAGAGATGGGCTTGAGTGTACTTAGTAAACCTTAAAAGTTTCACTTGAAGCCCATATTCATGACCAGATTTCAAATGTTACTGTTTATTCTGTCACAAATTTGTTCACATATCACCACTAATGTTAACCAGCTTTGAATGTACACTTCCAAACAATCAAAAAATGTTTTCCAACAAACTTCACCTGGAAGAATTAACTTCCGTTTCCTACTGACTTTTTATAATCAAGTACCAAAGTTAATATTTCAGAGGTATTTTACTATTTGTACTACGTTTGTCTTAATAGAAACAATTTGAATATTTTTTGCCAGTAAGTTTAATAGATGATTTGAGGATTCTTATGCAACAGGCTGATATCCTTCAGCATATTCTTCTACTATGTGCCTCATTTGTTTTTTACATTGCCTGCATTATAAGTTACATTACTTTCTACTTTTCATTTAAACGTGGACTTGTAGTCTCCCATGGAAGATTTAGCCAGTTTATTAAGATATTCAGCATTGCATGGGTGTTCAAAAGTGTCCACTGTGTCAATTAGGTACAACTCTCCATCGGTGCTAGTGACAGAGATACAAACAATCAAATTCTTGTGAATATTGCTCCATTCATGCAGACTGTGAAGGGCTTCTACTAGTTTAAAGCATCCTTTGTTGTAGATAGAGTCAATTAAAGGGCTTATAAACCTAGTCTCAGCATTTATACCATTCGAAAAAACTTTGGTGTTCTACAAACTGAAATGGAGTGTTGATTGCATAAATGAGACTTGTGATTTCTTCCTCCAGTTCTATTTTCTGTGAGTTTGATTAAATGCAGGATGAGACTTTTTGTTTCTTAGGTACCAGTGGATCCAGAATTTCTGTTTTTGTTTGTAAATCAGTTTCTTCACAGTCATCAACTTTGATGATCACATCTCAACTTTTACATGCCATTAAGTGTTGCTTCATTCAAGCTACAAGACCCTGTAGCTTCTTCGTACACTATGCATTTTACTCTCTTTCCAGTTTTATAAGTTGGCAGTTCTTTGTTAAATTTCCAAACAGGATTCTATTTGTAACCAGCTTACATGGTAGCTAATTGCTTTTGGTGGGGTGTAAGAGCTGAAAACATCAATGTTATGTTTAAAAATTAGTGCCAAACCATGCATTCCTGAAACCTCATAATGTGCTAGATCACAGAAACAAGTTATGTTAAGTATCTTAGTCTACAAGGTTTAAAAAACTTTAAAAATGTTTTTTTGCACATTGAAAATTTTTTAATTTAAGCCAAGAAATCTGAATTCTATTCTCTAGATTTAAATCAGTGGTTTATATCAAATTAATTTAAATCAATCCACCTTGTGGATTAGCAAATCCAGATTAAAGTAGCATGGTTTTCTCATTAAGATTAATAACAGCTTACAAGTATCTGAAAATGAAAATACCATTTCAATCAAATATATAGGTACTGTAAAAATATAAGGTTTGTAATATCAACAAAATCATATTTAGTTTGGAAACAATAGGACAATAACCCACAAATGACAATTTAAACAAGTTTATGCAATACAGTGAATACACACTAATAAAATGCAGCTTCTAGACACCCAAGTCACATCTTTTAAAAAATGTCCTGCAAACAGAAAGCAAAAATTAATTTTACTTCAGTTTGAACTCTGTGCTCATTTCAATTTGTAAGCTAAAGACTAACAAATTAAGCAAGAAAGAGACAGTTTAATGATAACTCTTTAAGTTGTAATATAATTTTATAAGATCTCTGACAGCAATTATATGCATAGCTTTACCCTTTGAAAATTTCTGATTATGATACATATACTAATAGTCGAGGTTTAACATATGTTCTGGTAGTATTTGCTCTGATGATAAACATGAATATCAAATCCAGTTGAAAACAACATTCACGTCAATACTGAGAATGTACAAAATTTCTCCATGAATATTTTTTATGTTCATACCATTAGGAAACCAACTGGATTTAACACATTTTTATAAGAAACCAATGCACTCAGAAACAACATGTAGCCTGGAAATCTGCATATTTTCCCCCAAAAAACTTGAAACCCTAAACTGTGTAAATGAAATCACTCTTGACATATCTACTCCCAACAACTTAAGTTATGAAATACAGATTACTTGAAATTTTTGTTCATTCATAAAAATGGTTGCCCCCCATGAAATCACAGTAACATGTGACATTCAATCCAACAAAAAAACATAAGACAACAAATAATATTTTTCACAACCACCATCCTTTTTATTGAATATATCAGTAACAACCTTGTTGGAACATGAAAACACCTCATCTAAAAGCACAATATTAATATAAACTTATCATACAAAATCAAGGATAAAAATAGAAAGAAGAAATTACCTCAAACAAAATGAAACTAAAAGAATAATACACTGTAATAAGTTATATTTTCAGCATTATATTTTAGTTGTTTGCAAGAGGGAGCTGTTAATCATGATTAATGTAGATCTAGAGTTTATAAAAGTAGTCCTAGAATCCAGAAATTTTTCATACTTCGTAGAAATGAAAGTTCAGTATAAGATGATCAAGAAAAGACTGAGTTGTTAATTGAGTAAGGTTAGTCAGATCACTAAGAATTAGTGCTTCCATAAGCAAATCTATAAATTAGTCAGGTTTGTTATCAATCATGGAAATTACTATTAAACATTATTAGTGTATTAGACCCACAGCCGTTTCAGAGTTTCCATTGAAAAGTTTTGTATTTGAAGTTAGGTCTATGAGCATGGCTGTAGAAAACACTATAGAATAAATAAATTTATTTATTATTGTTATGTGGATTGAATCTCACATTATTTTTACCAGATAATTCAAAAGAACCCATGGAACTACAGAAGAATGTTACAACAATATAAAACCAAATGTGACATGTGAAAACATTTATTTAAGGGAAACTGTAAAAACATTAGAGGATAAACAGCCACTTTAGAGAACTTATGTTTTTGCTCCATATCTGAAACAACACAAAATTCTTCCAAGTGAAACTGGTATAAACAGAAGAAAAATTGTAGAAAATATAGTGTTTAATAAACTGAAACCTTCTTTGAACAAATATCCTCTCTATCTTTACTAATTATAATTCATATAACTCTATATTTTTATTTCTAACTACTACCACCAGTGATAAATACTTATAACTCAACTTTGAATTTGTAATTTTTGTTAATCATACGCTACCTGAAGATAGCCCTCCTGATCGACTGAAGTATCATACTTTTAATTGCTTAAAATATTCTTTCCACTGCAAAGCTATTCACAATATTACATTTAACTGACTGACACTTTAAACACCTAAGTCATAAATAAATATACTTGTAACTGTTGTGAGCTTTGATACAGTATATGATTTGTGATCATCAGTACCAGTCTTGTCCTTTATTACTACACATGCATAGAAATGGGTCACTTTCAAGCAGATGGCAGTACCTGTATGGATGGGGATCACTTGAATACAAGCAGGTAAATAAACTGAGGAAGAATTAATGATGGCAAAAATTTGCAATGAAGATGTGTTGTGTTGCACAATGCCATACTATGTTGAAAACAAAGATTATGATGTAATATTTGAGACAATGAAAAAGAAGTGGCAGCATACAATTCGTGGTGGAAAGACACCATGCAAACACATTACAATTTGCTCAAAGCATTTTTCAGAAAAGATATTGCTTGAATATCAATGGTAAGTAAGTTATTCTTTTACTTAATACCATACACACTGAATTAACATGAACTTACAATTAGAGCAAGCTGCCTACTTAACCCTTTCGATACGAGTCACAGGTGAAAGGCCATGTCATCTCGTTTGTTGATTCACATTCAAAATTTTATTGAAC